TTGTTAGGGCGATCGGATCCATGCTCAGGTCAAAGATACTACTATAAGCACATTCAAACAAGCTTTGCAAGAAAATGTGGTTTACTTAATCATGAGGTCAGGGTTATACGCAATTTCCAAGGCACAAAAACTACCAATCACCCTTGCATGCTCCAATTTTTGGGAAAGACCAAGATTCAAAAACTATCGGAAAATGGATTTCCTAATTTTCGATCTTACTTTAAGAGTTTTGAAGATGTACTCAAAACAAATTAAAGTTTGCTGACCAAGTCTTTTTAGTTGGTAAGAGTCATTTACATTTACATAACTTAAATACTTACACATATGAAATACATTTCATGTATTATGATTATGAAATTTATAAAATTGTATTTTTATGGATTTTCAGATATAATCAGGAAAGTAGTTAGTCGAACTGCGCCCGAAACCCGTATGGTTAATAAAGCCCCAGAGCAAATGATGGAAGTTACCTTGGAGAACCACAAGTGACTTTTTAATAACCGAATTCATTTTAATAAAAAAAATATTATAGTTTGAAAAAATTACTAAATAATTCAATTACATGATACATTATTTTATTAACTAATAACTAGAAAATTTCGACATATAATTGATTTAAAAATAATTTTAACTTTTTTTTTGTAGTGGCGTTCGATTGAATTGTACGTTCTGGGGAAATCACGTCAATATTTTCATTGATGGATTGAGTGCATCGGAATCGACCCTTCCAATTTTGGTGTTGCAGATGGTGAAACCTAAGTTCTACAATGGGTTGAGAAATATTGACCATTCAATGGGTTTATGTAATGGTACACGGTTAATAGTAACCCTTTTTGCTAATCACTCAATACAAGAAAAAATATTATGAGGAAGCCACATGGGTGAAGAAGTTGTTAGTCCAAGACTGTCATTAACACCGTCCGATACAAGAATTCCTTTCAAGTTTCAAAGAAGACAATTCCCTGTGGTTACTTCGTACGCAATGACGATTAACAAGAGCCAGGGACAATCTTTGAAACATGTTGAACTACTGTTGCAGAAACCTGTGTTTAGTCATGGACAGCTCTATGTTGCAGTTTCAAGAGTAACTAATCGTAGTGGATTGAAGATTCTGATATGCAATGAAGACAATACTCCCACAAAGACTACAAATAATGTAGTCTATAAAGAAGTCTTTCAAAATTTGTAAAACATTGATGTTCTGTACCTTAAAATAATATAATCTCTACATTCTATTGCATCTCATTTTTTATCATTAAAAAATGATCTGAATTTAATAACATAAAAATGACCCGTGCAACGCACGGGTGTGATACTAGTTAGTTTAAACATGTACCAACCAAAAAACAACTTTGGAGTTTGTCCACAGGTTTCTCTGAGTCATTTCAGGCAAATAACTTTGTTGGAGAGTGACCGCTAAAGCGCTACCCTAGAATCCCACTCCACTCTCTCTTTCTGCCAAAATAGAATTAGAATCAAATATTCAAATTGAATAGCCCAACCCCGAAATGATCTGATAACTAAAGACCCAATCTATAATAAAAAAAATGGGGATATATATATATATATATATATATATATATATATATATATATATATATATATATATGTTCTGAACTAAATCAAAAGAACTACATGTCCTCTCAGCCGCAAAATAGAACCAACCCTGATTAGACCCATTCGAAATTGATCAAACCCAAAATCGATCAGAACTGAAACTTATCTATATGTTACGGAATATATATTATGTTTGAAAAAATACACACAACATGCACATATTTGTATGTGTTTACATGTATATTTTACTTATAAAGATGTAAAATTCCGAAAAATAAAATCTTCCTTTTTTTTGGCTTGAGAGCAACTCAAACGGAGGTGCTAAAAGCTACTCCATTCTTTAAACTTATTTAAAGATATGAAAGAGTAAAATGTAAAATAAGTGTTCAAAATGTCTACCATATAATCGGGTGTACCTAAAGCTAGGTACACTTAGCGAATGCTCATTCTGAATCACAAAAGGTTTTGATGACCACTTGTAGTTGATGCAACTAAAAAGGTGTGAACTTTATTTGCAAGATCTCTATGTCTAGAACATAGGTGGGGTGAAGAACCACCAGGAGGTGGCTCTCCAAGTTGGCAATGACAAATCCATCATAAATCATTGTCAAATCATCGGCTATCGAGACTACAAAAATCTACAAGATCTGCTACGAACAAATTTTGTCACAGATTGGGAAATGTCGTAGCAGATTCATCATTTGCTACAAACCTACGTTGGAAATGTGCCATTGCAAAAAAAAACCGTCGCCGCTTCAAATCTGCGACGTAATTTTGTTTTCTTCGCAAATCAACGACAGAATTGCGATAGACAAAAAAGTTGCTTCAACTATTCATATCAGCGACGGGGTTGGGTCCGTCGCAGATCTATGACGGTTTGACAGTGTTGTGGTAAGGAAAATATTCTCTACGACAGACTGCTTCCTGTCGCGGATCCGTTGCAAAAAGGACCCGTTGCAACATGCATTTCTGCAATTTTCAGTTTTTGCATTGACCTTCTACAAACACAATATATTGAGGGGACTCTGATCAATCAAATAATACAAGTACATTACTTTTAAATATAAATGTCAAACAAAAAACAATATAATGATTAAAAACCCCAAATATTTAAGTGAATAATGTAGTGTATGCATAAATTAACATTAAAGTCAAATGTTTTAAATGTTAATTCAAACAATCTAACAAACTATTCCAGGCTGCCATGCTCCTCCAGTTGCGTCATCGTCTCGTGGAGGATTGCTATCACCATATAACTTGCTCAAATCTTCTTCAATCATCGCAAATTTAGAGGGTAAGGCTGCAATCTGTTCCTAGAGGCGTTGGTTCTGATCTTTCAGAGCATGGATTTCAGACTTGCTACTTGCGGAGGAGCTAGAGCGGCGATTCTTGTACTGATTGGATCCGCGGCTATGGTTTTGCCTCCCTTTCGATCGATGTAGCGTTATTGTTTCGCTTCTACGCCACTGTCCTTCATCGTTGTGCTTGCGCCATTCACCGTTTAAAGATTCAGGTGTTCCCAATGTTGGGCACCACTAGTTTGAAAGATTCAGGGGTCCTCAATAAGTTTTAATTACCTAGCTATATGGTTCTCTATAATTGAGACTTATATCCAAGATAGTCCTTCGTAAATAATGTTACTCAAATAATGATTAATTAGGATATATTTTGGTATTTTGATCATCCAAAAATTTAAAGTATATTCTAGAAATAGTTATTTCTGTACAACTAAATGTAAAATTAAAAAAATACATTGACTATAAATAGTTCATGAATTAGTTAAAACTTATAAAAAATCTTTTAAATTTCAAATCAAATACACATCCATTTTGGAAAGCACTTTATTATAAATGATCATTTTAAGAATTAATTCTAAATTTAGCGGATAAATAATACCAAGATACCCTCAATTAATCCTCATTTGAGTAACATTATTTACGAAGGACCATCTTGGGAATAAATCTCAATTATCAGGACCACGTAGGTAATTAAAACTTATTGAGGACTGATTTGGAAAAACGCCTTATTACAAAGGACTATTTTGGGAATTTACTCATTATAAAACTTCACCAATAAAAAAGAAAAAGATTAGTCTATGTAATTAGTGGTAGTGTACTTTGAGGGTACATTACGTCTATTTGGTCATTATGATTGAAAGCTCTGTTATGTTACTTTGACAAACACTAGATTTTACATTGATGAATTTATTTTATTAAAGTTTAATAAAATCCTTCAATTTGTCAGTGTGACAAAGCTTTCAATCATAACGCCTAAATGGATGAAATGTACTATTGGAGTATAATATCACAAATTTGAATGGCCCTGGAGTATATTTTGAATAACGTAGGATCTAGGAATTCTTACTAGAAAATCGAGGGTAGTTGAGAATGAGTGTTTATTTCTCAAGTTCAAATGAGTTTGTAAAAACACAATCACATTTGGTGTTTGTTCATGTGAAACTTATTTTGGAACTTGTGTCTATCATTACCATAGTCCACATTTTCCGTTCCTCTTTCATCTTCGATAATCATATTGTACATTATGACACGTGCATCCATAATGGTGGCTAGAATTTCTCTCCCAAAACGAGCAGTTCCTCTCACAATAGTCCATCGAGATTGTATAACTCCAAAAGCTCGTTATACATTTTTCCTTACTGACTCTCTTGCTGCGGTAAAATTGGTCTTTTTTCCTTTCTCGGGGACATGGAATTGTTTTCACAAAAGTCGCCCATGTTGGATATACTCAATCAGCTAAATAGTATCTCATGGTTTACTCATGAGCATTAATTGTGAAAAGTTATACGGAGTAATATACTTTCTCTATCCCAAAATATTTATTCTGTCTTGTCTTTCTTCAATCAACTAAGATCGATCCTTGATTTATAATTAAATAAAAATTACATGGCATATTAATTAAAAAAAGTATATTCAAAAAATATTTTTTAAGACCAACCCAATGAAAATATTGTTGTTTCGAAAAATTAAAACTGAACAAATATACTTTGAAACAAAGGTAGTAGAATAAATGATACGGTTGGATTGAGTGTAGAAAATGGATTGTTATAACACTCTTGAGAAACTAAAGTAATTTTTAGCTTTTCAAAGTATAGCTCTCCCTTTGGAGATGCAAAGTGTTTATATCATTGACCTTTTACATAAGCAAATTAATAAATTTTGAAAATGAAAAAAAACTAATACGGAGTACATATCTTTACAATAATTTATTGCTCATGCAAGAATATTAAAATTTCACATATGGATCTTAGATCCATATAAGAATTTACATGCCGCCTTTCAAGAATGCAGAGGTATCCTAAAAGAATAGGAGGCATTGTTTACCAAAACCATTACTTTACCACAAAAAAATCAATGAAAATTCATGTCAATACTCCTAAAATTTTGAGATTTCACATAAATATTCCAAGATCACAATTTCCCAAAATTTATATATTTATATAATAATACTCCACGATTACAAATCGGTCGATCACATATACTCCTGAAAAGATGCAGGAGTCCATGTAAAATGAGATTCTTGAATGGAGTATTAGTATAAAAACACTTAAAACTGGAAGAACATGTGATGAACATGCAATCTTGGATTATTGATTTAAAATCTCAAAATTTGACAACCCGGGAGAATTTGATTTATGAGACTGTTCTTGTTCCTGCTGTTGCGGGCAATGACTTGAGAAGATTGAGAGAAGGGCGCCTCACGGTGTGGTTGAGAAGAATCATGAGTGTTAAGAGCGTTAGAGCCCCAGCTTGGTGTGCTGTTCCTAATGAAACAGGCACGTACGCAAGAAGCGTCGATATGCCCAAGCTCACCTGTTTAAATCAGATGGTGTGATAAGTAAAACATGGACCATATGGCATTAGTATGATATTTTGTTTGTTTTGGCCAAGCCCCGACGAATTTGTTTTTGGGCACCTCCCAAAAGGCATCATACGATTTTTGGTTTGACTTCTCTTCTCCTTTTGGTTTGGGATGAGGGTTGCTCCCAACACCTCCATCCCAAAATAAATAAAGTTCAGAAATTTTCTTTATCGTACGTCTCAGAATGAACTTCAACTATGCAGTTTATTTCAGGACAAAGGGAGTGAATTACTACTATTACCATCGTGAACATTGGAAGGACATAAAGATGTTGGGGAAAATAATAGATGTACTGCAAATCTTTTTGTTATTTTGAAGGAGACTGCATCATCTCCGATGGAGCCAAAATTTCACCATTTTTTGGCTTTGGGGTGTGATGGAATAAATCAAAATGGATCTCTAAACTGTCTGCGCTTCTTTAATTAATGAAGTAGCAGTTAGTCAAGCAATGCAACTTTCGACGTTGAGCCGGGGGTCTCTTTGGAAACAGCCTCTCTACTTTCGAGTAGGGGCAAGGTCTGCGCACACACACCCTCCCCAGACCCTACTCTTGTGGGATTTAACTGGGTTGTTGTTTTGTTTTTGAAGGAGACTGCAAATCTAGATATACTTCAAAATTAATGATATTCTCTGGTAGATTGATTACCTGTAGAGCAGCCATGCCCAAAGTGCTTCCAATTAAAGAACGTACTGCAGGGTGAATTTCCAGTTTCCTTGTTGCCCACCATAGCCCACCAATGGAAGCTAATGTTGCAGTTGCAAGTATGCGATGATCAAGCTGTAAAACACAAACAATGTCCCATCCATTGGGATGGAAATTTAACACGAGGAACATCTATATCTGAAACTCTGAAGGAACCAACTCAACTACAAGCTCATGCAGGTGATTGAAAGCCCTTATGTGATTCAAACTCGTGACCTCTAGGTCAACAAGATTTCAAGGCCATGTTAAGGAACCAACTAAGCTTGTAGTTGAAGGACCACAAATGTTTTTATAATCCAACAGAAACAGCACAAAAAAACCATCGTCGTCATCACCGTGATCTCAACTATGTTGCAGTAAGTGGGGCATGAAATTCTGCGTCAACTAATTGTTTAAAATTATTCAACTAATTATAAATTCGTGCAAAACCGTTGAGTTCGGGTGTGATGACATTTACCTGGACTGTTGCCGTATTTTCAAAGAAGTTGTGAATGAGCGGCTTCATACTCAAAACATTTTCTGGAATCCAAGTGTCTCCCATTTTTGGAAAAGTATTAAATGCATGGCCCTGGAACACAGCCCGCAAACCAAATGAGATTTTTACCTTAAATATAGAGCTGGAATTCATATTCTACTTTCGTCCCAAAAAAGGAGCCATGTTTCTAAAGGGTATGTTCATTTAAACTGATATTTGTAATTTAAATTTGTTGTTTGTTCATTGTAACAAAACAAATATACTTATATTTGTTATAATTTTTATTTGTATGCATGCTAAAATATATAATGCTCTCCAATACTTATACAAATATGTTTAAAACCATAGGAATTTATTTTAATAGGAAACATATATTAGTATTAGTATTGATATATTTTCAGGGGTTTGGTCATTTAGTGTAATGGTAATCCAAAGACATGAAGAAGTAGTGTCTACATACAGCATCATTTCCAGCAACAAATGCTCCGGAGATAGCTGTAAGTCCAACAAGGATGCCAACAGGAAGTGCAAGTCGCTTTACTTTTGCTGCTCCGTGTACCCAAGCAAGTGACTCAGCAGGAGGTTCAGGCATAACAACAGAGAGACCAGTCCAAAAAAGGCCAGAATAAATGGCAAAGGCTGAGGTAAGATGAGCTGCAAGACGGTATGGGCTCACCCTTGGTATAACATACTCTGATGGTGGCTCCTGTAAATGAAATAAATCAACAACAACGAAACCCAGTATAATCTCAAATCCGTTGGGGGTCTGGGTGGCCAAGATGTATGCACCTTATCCACAGACCCTATACGATAAATGAAATGAATGTTCAACAAAATTTAAGGAGGCAGGAAAGGTGTTTTCTTTCTGCTTCTGTCTTTCTTATTTCTCGTAATAATAATGTTATTGCTGATTCGATTGCTAGACGGGGAGTTACGCAACCTGGTGAGTGGTTGGTTCTCCACCGGACTTCATTGTTTCTTTAATGACTAGTTAATGCAATCCTTGTTGCTTTCATTTTTTTTTTGAAAGAATGCAGTACATGATAGGTTTTGTACCTCCAAACCACTTTTAACCATCCACCAACCAATGAGTCCTTGCCCGGCACCAAGGGCAAATAGGGCAGAGAGACGAATTCCTAATCGCATGGTAATATATCCCTTGCGGAGGAAGTATGAGAAAGGAAGAGCAAACATTATACCCAATGCCCTTCCCCACATTCGATGTGCATATTCCATCCAATATATGAACTTGAAATCTTCAATCGTAATTCCCATGTTCACACTGTTCAGGGATTATAAAAAAATAACATGATATATAGTTATATAGTTACATATTGGAGATTTTATAGCATTTGAAAGAATAACATAATATATGATCATGAAAAATCTCATGCACCTCACAATTGATCTTAGAAAGATTATATTTATCAAGATATAGACTAACCCCTCTAAAGCCTTCCCCATACAAAAAACCCTCCAACCATACAAACCCTAATAAGCAAGAACAAATACATATAAAGAGTAGTAGAAACAAAAACAGAAATGTACTACAGCAGTGTGATTTACATACAGGCATTTGAACTAACCGCTTGTACTCTGGGGATGCCTTGTATTTCTCAAATTCAACCATCCAATCTTCATCCGAAAGAGGAGGTAAACTCCCAGTGAATTTCCAGTCAGTCATGGAAAGGCCAGAACGAGTGAGACGTGTGATACCCCCGAGCACCACCATACTAAAAACCCAGGCAGCGGAAGCAAAAAGCCATATTCCAATCATTTTCTGAGCATGCGGCCCTGCAGTTACTAGAAGTTTCAACCCCTCCTTTGTTTCAGCGGCAGTAGATGTGGAAAAATATCTAAACGATGATCTGTAACCCTGAACCATCATTACATTTCAGCTAATTCTTTAATTCTTATAGTCAGTTTGGAACTCAAAAATACCGAGGGGAAGGTATTGGGAGAGAAAATATAGACAAAGTTTTGAAGGTGGAAACTATAACGTAAGTTCAAAAACTAGAGAGTTGTTTCTCAGATTTGTTCAAACTCATTTTGTTTGTTTGTTTGTTTATTTCTATCGGATCCAACTCGGTTGTCGTTGTTTATTTCTATCATTTAAAAACAACAAAATCTAAAGTTATGCGGAAGATTTGAAAACACTAATCATATCCGCTTTTGTTTGAAGTTTATTAGGCAAAGCCAAGCACAATAAAAAAAAAAATCTTTGATATGATCATTTATGCTTTCTTAACCCTTCCTGGAATCCAAGAAAACCCTTGCAGTATGGACACAAACAGGCAACACTATAAGCAGCTAATATCTCAATCTTTTTTGCCAAACAAGGCCCAAATCGTCCTCACTCAACCATAAGCAGCCAAAATAAGAGAAAAATTCAAAATTTTTTTACTCTTCCAAAATCCATTCCGAACACTACTGGGAAATCAAAAAGATGATCCAACAAAGCATTTGAGAGACCCGGAAACAAAACCTTGAAATTGAGCTGATGAAAGGATCTGAATCCGTAACTGACAAAGGTTCTGGCAATCGAGCTTCTTCTGCTTGAAGGAGAAAGCTTTGCAATGGAAGAGAAAAGCCTGTAACTTTCCGAGGGTTGTTGGGCCGAGGTCGGGTTCACTCGCCTGCTGAGATTCGTCGGAATCTTGGAGCCCAAGGCTCTGTTTTGCCTCAGAATCAACAGTAAGCTTCTCTCCCTCATAGCTTATCCTTCGTCTTCACTGCCGGAACGCCGGAGAAGCCCTCTGGATTGGTTTCCTGGTTGGAAGATTTGCCGGAGCACACAAGTTAAGTCTTGGGGTTCTAAGGTTAACCCGCCTGTTCGTTTGAAACGGCCTGGCGAATTGCCAAAGAGAAATGATGAAATGATGAAATGAATTCTTTTTCCGTGGAAGCATATATTGGCTTCGTGGCAAGCTACTCCACACCCATTTGATCCCTCTTAATTGGTTTGGTACAAAATTTAAGAAAACTAGAATTTTATGATTCAAAGTTGTTAGAGTGCATTTCACATTGGAAGTGCAAGAACAAAATAATCGGTATATAAGTTCTCAAATTGAACTAACTAATCGATTGATATCAATTTTTTAATGTGGTTCAACCCAAGTGTCTTATTATCCAATCCAGTTATCCATACCTTCCAAAATTCTATCAAAAGTGATACAGAAAATGGATAGAAGAGTCTTTTTTGAGACGCTTTGAAAAAAATGAGGAATCTTATTTTGAGACAGAGGAAGTATCGCAATACATACCATACAACTCGTTGTACACTATTTCTCGTACATCCACAGTGAGTAATCATTTACGAGTAATGGAATACTCATTCTCGAGCAAATGAATACCCATTCTCGAGTAACCATATACTCATTTTTATAAAAATCAATTATACTCAAAAATGAGTACTCAATTACTTGAAAATGAATGCTCTGATATTCGAAAATGAACATTCAGTTATTCAAAATTGAGTATTCATGCGGATGTACGAAAAATACCGTACATCCGGATATATGGTATAAGTACTCAGGAATATTTAGTGTATAGTTACATTGTTTGGTTCTTTGATTTACTAATGGCTAGACTAGTGTGTAAATTTACATCTATATAACATTCTTGTGTGTGTATTTATAAACATATAAGATGATTATATCTAAATGAGCAATCATGACATTTTTGCACTTTTATAAGTAGTTTGTGAACGTTTTTGAGCTTTAGGTTGAGTTGATTCCTTGACATGGTATCGGAGCTTTGTTGACTAAGAGTTCAGGGGTTCGAAACTCAGCGCCATCCAGTTTTAAGAAAATTAAAAAGTTTCACGTGCAAGGCTCGAAAAAGACTACGCATGCACGTGAGGGGACATGTTAGAATATAAATAACTCTTCATGGGCCACAGCCAAAAGCTTGAGCTTGTGGTTGAGTTGGTTCCTTGACACTTTTCAAGAATCACTTCACGACAGTATTCAACCTGCTTTAACCTAAGGAAGTACATGAAGCCATTAAAATATTATTGGAATTCTAAGACTATGTTCTTTTCGGTTGAAAAAATAGAGTTGGATGTTGGAAGAAACTGTTAGTAGTTGGATAAAATTGAAAAGAGTTGGAACAAACTAAAAGGAATGGGAATTGAAGAAACTAAAAAATATTGGAAAAAATTTGAAATAGTTTTTAAAAAATAAAAAACCTTAAAAGAATTAATATTATTCTATAAATTTCATATTTTGTTTAAAAATTATATACTCTACTTTATAAAATGTTAATCTCTTTTTATTTTCTTTTATGCCATTATATTTGATCTCAAATCGTGTTTGTAATTTTCTCCTGACTCACACTCTTTCTTTACTTTTTAAAATCAATATCAATCATAATTTTTTTTTTGTTTTTTCACTTTAATGTCACTAATCCATGTAACAAAAATAAGAAGACAAATGAAACAATACATTTTACTAGTCTTAGTTGAAAGAAAAAATGGACTTAAATAATATATCGATGTATCGACCAAACAAAAATAATTTTAAATCACATTTTCTGTATCAAAATATTTATAAAAATGACTCGAGACTAACAATGTTAACATTGCATTAGAAATTACTGATTTTACATTATTTATATTGTTTTATCTAAATATCCAAAAATTTAGAATTACGAATGGATTAATGAACGTAAAGTATATATCACTTGTAAGAATTGTAATATCAAAATAATAGAGTTGTGTGTAATAATTCAAAACAACTTCGATTAAATTTTTTTAAGCAAAGGAACTTGGAACAATGGATCGGAGAAGAGAAGACGAGAAGACTTAATTAGAGTTCAATGCTTACAAGGATTTGAGTTGTATTTATTTCCAAAAGTTTCATATTTTGTTTAATTACAAAAATTTTACTATTTCAAAATAAGGAAGGAAAACGAAAAAAGGGCATAAAAGTGATGCCAATTTATTTGGACTTGGTTAGGGGTCAGGGTTTACAAATGTTTGAGTTATTTTTTATTTTTAAAAATTCATGTTCTATTAGGAAAGATTTACCAATTCTAAAATAATGATGGAAACAGAAAAAGGGCATAATAAAAGGCGTCAACTCATAAGAAAACCCTCTAAATAGGAGTAAAACATGATTAACTATTTTTATTGTACAATTCTTATGCCGCCGTGAGAAAAATAGAACACCACCCATTCATTGATTTCTGCGGAAATTAAATGAACGTGACACTAGTGTTGATCTTCAAGGTATGATCGGAATTCCTCTTCCAAGTAGGACACATTGCGATGAAGGACGCCTCCCACCCGGCTGATGTATTGGGCGTATGTTTGTTCTAAAGAGGAATTGATTTGAGAGAGGAGGAGTGATTTGGATAGCCTCGAAACTCGATTCACGGCACCCAATAACGAGGCCGTCTCTTCTTCACCTAGTTGGCTCCATTTGGACACACTCCTGTTTATTTCCTCCAACTTGGCTTCCACAAGCGATGCTAATTGGTCCACACTGTAAGTTCGTGGGGAGCACAGCGGATAACACCAAACACAAGCTATGCAAACAAAGCAATCAACTATGTTGTAGAGAATATGCTGCAGCACTGTCACAGTAACAGATGACTGACAGAGTGCTATAACACCTTCTCTGTCACAAGCACACACGTAAAATATAAAGTAAAAACATCAAGCAAGACACCAGAATTGTTCACGCAGTTCGGAGCAAATTCTCCTACGTCTGCAAGGCCCACGTCCGTGTAATAGCACTTCCACTAAATCACCGTAAGAATTACACAATCAATCACAACAGAACCTTCTAATGTATTGATTTGTCTACTTACGAATGACTTGACGACAAACTCGGTTTGCGTCTATCTCCACGGCTTGTTACACCTTCTCAAAGATCTTCTTCAAGGACGTAAATTCCAATACACCTTCAAATAAAGATTCTCCTTGATCTACAAAAATATGCAGGCTGTTCAGAAGCTCATAACTCGAGATTGAACCGTTGAAATTCGATCTCCACCGTTCAGATTGAAGCTCCACGAGTCCTTAGACTCCTCCTAAAGTTTCAGCACGATCGGATAAGATTTGGTACTCCAACCATTGGGAAAACCAGGGCTGTGTTTTCTGCAAAAAATCAGCAACAATGTGTAGATTGTAACTTCGATAACAGAAGATCCGTAACTCCGATTGACGTGAAATTTGAACACGTTGAAGCCCTATGTGTTGGGAACACTCTCTGAAAATTTCAGCAAAAGCCAACGGTCGGATCTCCAAAGATGATCAAATCCGTGCGGGCTGTCCAGAAAATTTACAGTCTCAAAATCTGCACCTTGTTTTTCTTTTGTTCGGATTTGCTTCTGGTTTTTCGTAGTTTTGCACGTCCAAAACCCTAAGGGAGGGTGAAGATATTAATAGAATAGAATAGCCATGTTAGAGTGTGTTTAGGATTCTCAAACATGGCCTCCTCCTTATGAATTGTAAACCAAGTAGGATTAGAATCCAAGTAGGACTATAATTCTCTCTTCAAGCTCTTTCCTCTTTCTCTTCCTTCACATGCTAGGACTCTAAGTCTAAATAAAACATCTACAATAATTCTAGGTAAATCTATTCGTTTGTCAAAAAATAATGTCAACACAATATGAAACTAACACACACATATGGGAATATCAACACGAACTGATCAACCTCATCTGATACAATTGAACTTTTGGTATTTTGCAGAGCCACGTTTGTCACTGTGCATTGACATATTTGGTATTTTGTTTTCGATTGACCTAAAATATTGTATTTTTGCATCTTACAATGTCATGTACTCATGTTTGTCACTGTATGTTGTCATTTTTAGCATTGTATTTTCGATTGACACTGTATGAATTATTTTTTTTTCAATGTAGCACCATGGCACTACACATGTGGGGGTTAGTGATGCTGACAACGTGCGACGTAACAGGAGCAAGGGGTGATGAAAGTAGTGGCAGATCTTGGCGGCGGCAAACGGTGAGTTAACAACTCCTATTATGAGGGTTTTATGTTTTCACTCTTATTTTGGATTTTAATCAATGTTTTACTCCTATTTTGCTCCTTAACCCTCAATTCATTCCTGTAAAAACTTTTAATATTTCGTTTTTCGTATGTCTCAAGAATATTAAAATATTTTTTCTTCTTTTTTTAATCTTTTTTATTTTATAAAAGTCAAATAGTGAATTTTTATGCAAAATAGATTATTTTAATATACATTCGATATATGCACATTTAAGAAACAAACAATATTACTTTTATAAGGGGGAGTATAATTGTTAAACAACATACGAATTATGAAATTCACATTTGATGATTGATGTCACACATCCATTTGGCAAAGACAAGTGTATATTTATGGATATTCATGGATGTCACATTTGATAAGAATAAAATTTGTTTCGATATTAGTAAATTTTTCTTTAATGAAATTCCCTATTATTGATTTTTTTTGGGAATTGGAAAATTACAACCTGCAAAGAATCTCAAATATTGAAATGAAAGATGCTCAATAATAATAAAACAAAACCCATAGGAGCAATAGCGAGTCGGTGTTAATAAGTAGAGTAATGTTGAATTGAAACAAACAAAGACTTAAATCATTGCCTACGTGTTTTCAAAAAAATATTGTTGGTTACACAACTTGTTTTTGGTGTACAGTGTATCATCAACAACATTAAAAAAAGAAGAAGATGACTGTCGACATTGATCATACTAAATTAAACATAAAAATTTATTCTTCAATTTAAACATAGATCTTGCCATCATAAACGTAAAGTAAAAGTTCAACATGTCCAACTTGGAAGGGTGTCACAATCTTATTGAAGCTATAGTTCTATGTTATGATAGAGATACATGACCGAAGAGTACAACTCGATAAAACATGTCGCCACCCTTCCATATATACATATATATTACACGGTTACCTTTGCCATAGATAGCCCATAGCCATGTTGTCCCAAGACAAAAAAAAAAGAAGAAGAAAAGAAACAGTTCATCACATTGCCAAGTAATGGTATTACACACCTTCCAACACTCTTTAGCTGCAAGAAACCATTTGATTCACTACTCTGTAAGGAGCATTGGCAAATCATCATCCACAGCTGCTGGCTGAAAAGTTCAGATGCAACAAGGTTAGCCCTCACGGGAAAGATCAATGAAAAAAATGGAATTAGAGAGACGTGTGGATGGAAAGAACTCGTGGTTTGTTTCCATTCTTCATAGCGGTATCAAAAAAAAACACAAAGTAAAATCCCAAGAAAGTAAGATCTGGGGAGGGTATGTGCATTCAGAGACTTGAAACACAGTTTCCAAGAATAGTGCTATCAAGCATCACAAAGAAAACACCAACAAAAAAGAAAGAGCAGATTATTGTTTTTTTCCTTAGAACGTTTCTTTCTTGACCAAAACTAGGCCTTTCCCCACTTGTGAGATTGCCTACATGTACTCAGCAACACAATTCATTTTGTAATCTCTTCTACAAGTCCATCGATAATGATGACTCTGCTTATTGTCACTTTGTGGTGTAAAACTGTACGAGTCAACTTTTCGTTATTTACATTTTGTCAGATTTTCTCTCTAGATGAATCCCCCCAGATTCAACACGCATGTGCACACTATCATGCACCAAGTCTTGCTGACCGTGAAGATGAAGGCATGCCAACAATGAGTCATTCCATTGGTTAGAATGTTGGCAGCAATAATATTGAAGTGTTGTAATGCCTTGCATGCATGAGTCTAGTTGAGTTAGGCATACTGACCCAGTTATGTTTGGGGAGCTTCTCGCTAATTTAAGATTTAACTATGAAGGAGACTATGCAAGTTACATGGAACAACTGATCATGAGTTATTGTTGCTTCCTGATGAACCTTGGCAGGGCGAAACTAGTTGGCACATTTGTAGGGAAAGGTTGGCCTCAAGGCGATCAAGAGACATTGGGACACTGCACGAGCGCTATGAACTACGTTAGACTCCCAGCCCATGTCAAGACTCAGTCATATAAATATAGGCATTCACTCAGATGGGCAAACACCATACCCAATAATCCATCACATATGGCATCAAAGAATTGCACTTGAGACAGGCCAAGGTGCCCTACCTGCCCCATATGGCATCAAAGAATTACCATAGAATCGTGGAGACACACACAAGGCCACATAATAAATGTATTTGTTAACAAAATATTTAAAGAATGTATATTTCACCCCTTCATATTCTAGGGTAAGTGATAGGGACTCGCTACGTGACCTATGCGCCTCGCTTAATCGGGGTTAATGGAGCCTAAGACGTGGTACATATGCACTCGACGGAAGCCAGCAACTTTTCATTGAAAGGGAAATCTTCCCATCAAGTATCTATTTACTAAAAAATGTGGATCTAATACCACTATACCAGAAGGGATCATTAAAGCTAGCAACTTTAGGGCTGCGATCATCCAAACACTGTTTTCTTGGTGTGAAATTAAACTAGTTAAATTTTCCCATCATACATGCTCCATCTCTGCAAGACACATTGATCTAATTGCCATTTGGTAAACGCGTTTTTTGCGCTATTTACCCCTAAACTTTGCAAAAATTGCGCAAATTCCCCCCGAGCTTTAAAAATTACACCAATACCCCTTAAACATTTAAAAATGTTGCGGTCCCTCTACGGTAGATTTGGGAATGCGTTAACCATAGCTCATCTAATGCAAGTATGGATTCACCTAAAGTCATATATCACATGCGAGTTCTGCAATATGCCATTCCCAAACATTATTTTCTGTATTCTTAGCTTCTTTAAACCCTAGATAATTATACTCGATTTAGTCATCGGTAACTGAATTCGAAGGTCGGACATCAGTCGATAAAGCTCGTCATCAATCGATCAACCTCTTCATCAAAATATTCAACAATATCCAACAAGTACATAGATGAGCGTGTCATTAACGTACTCCCAAGTCTGGCAGAGAGTCAGGGGGGCATTGGTGCAATTTTTAAAGTTCTGTCCAAAATGTTTGGGACTACTGAAGAAGGAGAGAACACAGTTACCTGAGCAATTTTCCTGGCAGGTCCTCCACATAGGGCCAAGGCTTTGTCCCTGCAAGTGGGAACAGTCTGGAACTGAGCGGCATCCAGCTCCTTGTTAATAATCCCGACCTGAAAATAAATACTCCCGGAAGGCGGCAAGTCGACCCTGATCTCGTCCACGTCGAACCAGAACAGTAATCTCTTGACTTGAATCCCCTTCAATCCGGTGATCGAGCCGACGCTCAATTTCCCGGAGATCTTCTTGTCGTAGTACACCAAGTAATCGAATTGCACGTAGCAAGGCTTCTCGAGGTAGACCTCGAAGGCGCCGTCGCCGGAAAGCGTGTAGGAGGTCACCGAGTCCGGCAACAGGCCGGCCGGCAGGCCGTACTTGGTCAGCATATCGTAGACGGTGGGCTCCGACGCCGAATCGGCGGAAGCCAAAGCGGTTCCGGCAAAGAGCAGCGCTGTGAAGAGAAAGCTAGCCCGGATTTCCATAGTGTTTCTGTAGAGGATGATCTTGACTAAGGAATTTTACAGTCGCTCTTTTTTTCAATATAAGTCCTCGGTCCTCCTACGAATTATTTATATTTCTTACTCCCCTCCTCACTTATTTAATCCATTTTATCTAGTAATTTATATATTAAAATATTATAGAAATTATATATTAATAATCTATATGTTAAGACAAATCAAACAAGATCACACATGACTATTTTTAGGCTTACACATTGAGAGAATTTGATGAGTCAAAGTGTTTAGATGAACAGTTTCAAAAGTCAAATGTGGACAAAGACAGTGGGACGGAGATAGTAATTATTTATTTAATAAAATATTCTTATTATATCTTAAATAAAACATTTGATATGATTTTAAAATATATCTCGATTATAATTTATATTAACTCTGTCTTAAAATTCAGTGGCGGACCTACAATGGTCCAAGTATGGTCAAGTGCACTCACTAAATTTTTTTCTAAAGCTAGCTACAGACCTACAGTACCACATTATTCAACAGTGGGGTCAATGTAACTCTTAGTACTAATTACTCCGTATAAAGTATATTAGGGCGGGGTCACATTGTTAGCCACATATACTACGGATTATCATAAAGGATCTACTTCTTTTTTGCTCAAGGTAGTGCCTTAGTCTTCAATAGAGTACACAACTTTTGTTTATTTAGGTGTTTTGATTGATTACTTGATAAAATAAAATATTTTCGTGAGTTCTTGTTTTGTAGAACTTTTGACGTAATTTTTAAATAAGTAAGTTTAGTTTTTAATTTACATACCAATCTTCAAAAAATGAATTTTAAAAAAATTGAAATTTTGTTTCATTTTATATAAAATGTAAAATATTTTGGATCGGAAAGAGTAGATATTATGTATCCAACATATAAAAGAAATGAACCCACTATCACAAAAAAGTTGAGAGTAATGAATTTTGTTTCAGATATTCATTAAATCTAAATTTTCTTGAATAGGCAATGTGAAAATTATTTTTTTAAATAATTTGTTATATGAAATTAAACATTCTTTAGTTTAGGACTTTGGGGTCTCCTCAATTTTTATTGGTGACCAATGTTCATAAAATCGGAAAAACAAATAAGGAGTACTCTCCCCCTCAACAACAAGCACCTGAATTTAGAATTTTAACCAAAATTCTTATTACATTTTTGACTCCAGTTAATACCTGGACTATATTACCAATTTCAGGTTACGGCAAAAACACGACTTTTATTTTAAAAAAAAAAATTACACTAAAAATATACTCCAAATAAAATTTGTGGGGCATTTTTTATACTCAGAGGCTCTCGCATGCCCGGAGTCCCCGATCAAACGGTCACTGAGAAGAAGTAATGTCAAAGAATAAGGGGCTGTTTGTTTCAGCCTCTTAATGGTTCAGACTGTTTGTTTCAGCCTCTTAATGGTTCAGATGTCTGAATGGTTAAGAGATTTGCCTCTGAATAGTTAAGTATTATACAGAGTCTGAATGGTTAAGACCTCTTATCTGAATTGATCAGACATTTGCCTCTGAATAGTTAAGCAATATACTAGCTCTTAATGGTTCAGACCTCTTACTGGTTCAGCACTTAATAGTTCAGAGCTCTTACTGGTTCAGCACTTACCGATTCAGAAGTTGCCAAACAGCCCCTAAGTCTGTATCTGAATCTTGGAGAGGTTATATGCTTATCATAGTTGCCTCCCAACACTGCCTTGGCGCTCCTTACCTTTCCTAACTGCCTCAACCCCCACTGGCATTTTTCATATGCATTTTATACAAAGGAGAAGAGAGAAACTGAGATGGTGAAGAGGATCGGTTGGGGAAAAGCTCGTCTACCTCACGCAACACAAATCCAGCAGCATTCGGGAGATGAAGACCCTGCCTGTATTCGTTCTCATCAAACATCGTCCGCTTCAATGTTTTCTTGTAATTTGTGGTAGCAGCCACTGGATGACCCCTCGCAATCGCTGCCTGCACCAGAAGCCATTCAAATGTTTTCTTGTATTCCTTCTCATCAAACATCTGTTTGTGTTAAATTATTTTTGAGAATTATTTATAGTTGTGAATTCATATCTATTTGTTTGCTCAAATACTGTTACTTATTATTTAGAAATAGAAGTAAAGAAATATAAAAACGGAAGTTTCTTCCTAGCAGTTTATTAAATCTCAAAAACCACAAACTACCCCAAACATGCCAAAAGCTCAATTTGGCAATCAGTTGTTTGTTGGTTGTTTGTGCTAACTGCTAAAAAAACCTTTTGTAAACCAAACTTAAAAATATTTGCTCCAAAAAAACTTAAAAACAGGCTTATCGTAAAGAAACCTTTGGGGACCAAAAAACTCTTTACCAAACATTTCTAATAGCTGTCATTTAGACCAAAAAAGTTCATTTTCCAAAAAACCTCTCCAAATAGCTCCTTGCACACCCGCAAAAAAAAATTGGTGAGACGTGGTTTGAGATTTTCAAAGCTCTACCAAACACATAACCTATGTTTTCCTTGTTCAAATGTTAAGCGAGAAAATGAGAGTATTGAGAGAGTAGGAAATGCGTATTGAACTAACCAAGTGATTTTTTCCCAATTCAAATAGACAAAATCTCCAATCTTTCAATATTTCGCCATTGACTCTAACAAGTATGTTTTCCCAACAAGTGTGTTGAAACTCAATGTTGTCCAATCTGCACCCAACACCTTCCCCTGTGGCTTTGATGAATGCTTCCTTCAAACTCCAGTATCTGCACAGCGTAGGCCATAAAAAAGATCTTAAACTCCGTGCAAAAAGCAAACAACAACAACATAACCCCAGTGCCTCAACGGCTCCCGCCCATTGCGGGGTAAGGGGGGTCGGATGTATGCAATTTGACCCCTATGTTTAAAACATAGAGCGGCTCTTTCCAGATGACCAATGATGAACACTGAAAGTTGCATTGATCAATTGCTACTTCACAATTACAAGAAGCGCAGTCAGTTTAGAGAGCCAATTTGCTTTATTCCATCATACCCCAAAGCCAAAAAAATAGTGAATCTTTGGCTCCACAAGGGAATGGAAACAAGAACATTAAATAGGGATGGAGAGAGTTTAAGGTTATGAAGTACGGAGTATATTTCTTATATGGTGGGTGATACGTGGATAAATTCTCGACGTGAGATACTTTAAAAGTAGTCTATTAATATTATAATTATAAAATAATTAAAGAACCAAACTACATTTATTAGTGATCATACATCATACATGACAAGATTGACAACTAAGTTTTTAAACCAATAATACTTAATTGGTTTGGGGCCAAAGAGGAATAAATTTGGTTGAGACCCAAACACTATATAAGATTCGTATTAACTCGTTCATGCATTTGCATTCCCAAGTAATAATATTAAGAGCATCATACCTGTAAAGCTCTAGTAACATTTGATTATCAGAGCCAGCATTTAAAATTTCATTCCATTCTAATCCCGAGAAGTAGGGTGAGAAGCTTTGAATAAATTTTCTAGCAGATTCTTTCTCCGGGGTGAAATAGTCAATGATATCCAGGCCAACAATGCATATTGGTTCAGAAGCTATTGCCACATAGTCACCTTGATGAGAGACATTGAAGTTAAAGTTTGGAAAGTCTAGGACTGCACTTCCGTATTCCTAAGAAAAAAGTCAGATGCATGAACAATATCATCAGATATGTCAAGACAGCCCTACATTGCAAGGAAATTAGTTTTTCTTTGCTTGGTTTTACCTTGGAATCCTAGGATGATACACTGAAAAATCAAATTTCATAGTAAGAAAATTAAAAACTATGTATATTTTTATATGTCGTGCTCGGTTCTTTTGAAAGTGAGCCTTAGTGTCATAATATGATACCAAGTCATATGGGACCCTCACGGTGCCGCATTGAGCTTGGGCCTGGAGGATGGGTCAGGGTGCATGGTAGGAAGGGGGTGCTGACTGTGGGGGAATGGTGCCCAACGGAGCACCATAGAGCCCTCAATACTGCCAATAGCCTTGGTGTCATGATATGACACAAAGGCTGTTGAGTTCGAACCAAATTTTTACCCAACAAATTTACCTTCAAAACTTCCCATCTATATTCCTCTAATCTTTCTTTCCCAAGCTTTTTTTGGGTTCTGAATGGACCCTTCACACTTCCGATGTTGTTTCTTCTCTTTCTAAAGTTAACTTCAACCACAAATTTTTATTTTCTTGATAAGCGTGTCAAAAATGATGAATCTTGCAATATGGGTCCAAGATCTTGACCTCAATACAACCGAGCACCATGAATGTCATACCAGATATGGTTTTCCCTCAATGGTGCGATTAATGCATATCTCATTGTATGTGATTCCCAATACTTGATGTACCAAAGCATACTGCATCAATCTGCTCACTAGAGCTCGTTTGCGGTCTCCCATTTTGAAAAACCTAATTGAAAATTTATAACATTAGTTACATACATACTTAAATCAAAATGACACACTAATCTTCCCTTGTTTCTTACTTTCCATGAAACTTTGGGCAGTAGTTACATCAAGGGTCTAACTGTCAGTCGGCCATCTGTTTTTACAGAGGCAAGGGTACGCCGAAGACCCCCAATTGGAGTTGGGATTAGAGGGTGTTTGGCACTGCGAGGGATTTGGATTCCTGGAAAAGCAGAAGTCATAACTCATAACGCAGAAGCTAAAAGCATCCAACCCCAACTTTGTCAAAAAAAAATTGGAACCCATTTTTGCACTCCGAAGCCATAAGCAGAAAATAGATTTGCCAAACACACAAAATTACTTTTGAACGAAGCAGAAGCTCAAAAGATTTCTTAGGCATGTCAATTGCATCCAAAATCAAGAAACATCAAGATCAAAATTTAGCTGCCAATTGGACTTCCATTCCATAAGATCAATCACAGGTAGATCTTAAGAAGTGCTTGGTAAGAAGGATTCCTCCAGTGATAACAAAATTTAGCTGCCAATTCGACTTCCATTCCATAAGATCAAATTTCCAATTGGTCAAAAAAAAAGACAATATGATAACAGAAAAGACTAATCAAGAAAATCACAGAAGAAATGGGGACAGAGGGAGTGGCGGGTTACCTGGTGATGGAAGGATGTTCGTGGCGGGGAAGAAAAGACATGGCGGAAGAGAAGGCAAGGGGAGATGGGTCCCACTCTGAGATGTTAACTGCCCATCTTTGGATGCCATTTTCGAGTGCCATTATTCCTCTCCCTCTGAGTTTTCCATCGATGCTTAGCAATCCTTTTTAGAAGCTTCTTTGATAAATCTTTAAAAACCCTGGTGTTTGAAAATTAGAATTTTATTTTACTTCTAAAATTTAAAATCTTGAATTGGCGAAGCGCATGAATTTTAAGTTAAGTTTTGTTATGAATAAGAGGAATTTGAACCAATTCCAGTTTCAAAATTTTTAAGTTTTTCAAACATGGAATTTCAATCAAATCCAAATTCATGTTCCCAAATATCTCATCTCATTATTTGAAATATATTTGATTTTTTGGTAAAAACTTACATATCTTACATCATCTAAAATAAACTTGGAAAATCCTTTTGATGTTCAAGCTTGTGTCATTCAATTTTGATCGATGTTTTGATGACATAGTATCTGGTTGTTTGACTTGTTTGGTATGTTCAATCGCCACCTGCTATGTGTATGGCATGTCAGTGTGTGAGGTTGGCCGTCGACCTTACTTTTCTCTTTGAATTCTCTCCCTCTAAACATCGGGTAAGCATAGCCTCAACATGAGGCTATCTATAGCATAATACTGCCTCCGTCCCGCTATATTCGTCCACTTTTGACTTTTGAAACTGTTCATCTAAGCATTTTGATTCATCAAATTCTCTCAATGTGTAAGCCTAAATATAGTCACGTGTGATTTTGTTTGATTTGTCTTAACATATAGATTATTAATATATAATTTCTATAATTTTTTAATATACAAATTACAAGATATAATGGATTAAAGAAGTGCATTGGATGGTGTGTAAATACTCGCTAAGTTTTTCTAACCGGCGGTGTGCTCTAATAGATGTCAGAACTCAGAACATCTTATCATACCCCATATGTTGGGCATGTAGCATACGTCTATAGGTGTTCAAAACATTTTTTACATACACTATTTAATACGTAGTACTAGTAATCTATATTTGGTGCGGCACAAAACTTAAGAAAATAAAACAACAAAATTGTATAGTTAAAAATAATGCATAAGAGAAAACCATATGAGCCTCCAAAAATTTTTCCAAAAGTGAAAATCGAACTAATTTTTTTGGGACGTTCCAAAAGAATTTTAATTTTGGACAAAGGAATTTCGAGTACTATCCATCCAAATTTAATTACTCAAATTTCTAAAATATGTCATGCCATTCAAGGAGTGTAAAAATAAGATACTCCGTACGTCTTCTTAAATAAATTTTCATTCACTCAACATCAACAATTCTAATAGGGTTACTTTCAAAAAACAATTTGATGGGAACCAAGCCCATCGAGAGAATACTAATGGATTGGGCCTAGGCCCAATTCGAGTCCTGTCCATCAAAAGGAGCTCGGCCCAGATAAAATATACCTGGCCAGTCGAATGTAGGTGTCCGTGAGGAAAAATAGGAAAAGGAAAAGAATTGGGGGAGGCCTAAGGATGGGTGGAAGCCCAGCCCATTAGGAATAACTCACCCAAGAGGAAGAATCCTATGTAGAGATTAGGGTATGTCCCCCCTTAACAGGAGAGACAGGGACGGGGAGAAAAGGACGGACGAAGGACAGAAATGAGAGGTGGACGGAAAGGCTGTTGTCTTCCAGTGGACGGCTCCTAGCTGAGATACATTCTTCCCAGAGGATGCAGGCTGGCACGAACATTCCCCCTGACCACTGCCATTATTGAAAGGGATAATGGAGGAAAGAGCCTATAAAAGAGAGAGAATAGAGGAGAAGAGATATCTTGTAATAGAGAGAGAAAATACTTGAGTAAATAATAAAAGATATTCCGGCGATCCTTAAGCATATTCCGTTCCTAAGAGGACCGAGAGGACCGCCGATTTGAGTTATTATCCAGTGAGCAGTGCTTCTATTACTATTAATTATTATTATCGTATTATCTTTCAATATTGTAAGGCCCGGATACCTATATTTGAACCTGGGCCGATCTACAGTCCTTGGGAAAATATTGGGTATCCATCTCTGGCGCCGACCGTGGGACTGATTGAAGCTTCTTAACCTTCTGGGGAGTTGATAGCGAGCCTATCATCACTCTTGTTCACTCGGAAAGACCTCTTCCTATACCTGGGAAGAATTAGCGGTCCATTCCAAGTGAAGGAGATAAGTTCGCGGTCCACCCAGAAGGACTCCTCCTTTTAGTCGGTCCACTATTCCAAAAAAAAAAAGGAGAGTGAAAGGAGGACCGATCTTCCACATAGGACCGCATTTATCAGCCGGTCATACAGGAGGACCGATTTCTTGCTCAGGGGCCGCTATCTCCTGTTGGTCCGCCTTTTTCATCAAGAAAAGGTTTCCAACTGTTACCATGGGCAAAAATCGGTCCAAGAGGAACAAAATTGCTGCTAAGGCGCGAACCAACTTGGAAGGGAAAGAGAAGCTTTCATCTGAGGATCTCAGACACCAAATAACTCTCTCCCAATCCAGGCGTGAAACACAAGACAAATCTTGTAAACGCAGTTTCCACTCTAAAGCCCCTAAGAGTTCTCGTCCAAAGGATTCCCATGCAGCAACAGAAAAATTCGACGCCAACTCCCCCATAGTCCGAAAGTTAATCGGATGGCTCAACAAGGAAGGAGAGGCCCGGTCCCAAGGGATCGGGAGAGAAACAGGTCAAGGAGAGGATGAGGAGGTGGAAAGTCAAGGGCGCATATCAGTACATAAGAGGATGCGCAAAAATGCGTCCCAAAGGTTGGGACCCAGAACTGAGGAATCTGGAGAAAATTCTGAGGGGCACGGCAATGAAGATGCCGGAGACATCCTCAAATTGAGAAAAGAAATGGAGGAACTAAAGAGGCAGGTTGACAAGGACGGGTCTTTCGGACCCACAGTAGAGATAATTTCTCCCTTTACTGCCAGAGTGATGAAAGCTCAACTGCCCAGGGGTATGAAAGCCCCTGAAATCCATTATAAGGGAGTCACCGACCCCAATGATCACTTGGCTGCGTACCAAACTCACATGTTGATGCACGCCGTGGAGGACGAGATCCAATGTCGCCTCTTCGTAGGAACCTTGGAAGGGCCGGCCGTAAAATGGTTCCTCACTCTTCCTAATGGGACCATTGATTGCTTCAAAGATCTTGCTCAACTCTTCCTCAACGCCTATGGAGGAAGGTTCCAGCCAAAAAAGCACTTCACCCATCTTTTCTCCCTAAAGCAAAAGGAGGGAGAGACCAACAGTGAATTGGTACAAAGATGGAATGAAGCAATCAATGAGGTGGAGCCTATGGACGATAAAACTTCCATTGCTCTGTTCATGAATGTTCTCAGGTCGGGGGAATTATTCAGGAAGTTAGATTATGATACCCCTACTTCTTACAAGGCTATGATGGCTAGGGTTAACAAGTTCTGCGCCACGGAAGAGTCGGATCGCCTGAAAGGAAAGAGCGAGGGAGCCTGGCAAAAAGGCCCGGACAAAGAAAAGAAAGGAGAAAAGACCAAGGTGGCCACTCTCTCCATCCCTACCCTCAAGTCACTGGTCGCACCAGTGGCAGAAATTAAGAGCAAGGAGGAAGGTGGGCAGAAGAGGAAACGTGGAGACCAAAAGAGAAGGCAGTGGCCCTATGACCCAGAAAAATATTGCAACTTCCATAGAAGGCCTGGACACGCCACTGAAGAATGCCATTTCCTCAAAAAGATGGAAGGAGAGATGAAGGACAAGGAACCGAATGCCAATCAGGAGCCGAACCAAGGAGGTAATGTTTGGCGTAGGGACGCCCAACCTCAACAACAAGTCCAGGAGAACCCGGAAGAATTTCCCCAAGTAGGAGTCATCTTTGGCGGTCCAGAAACAGGAGTCACAAGCAAGGAGAGGAAGGAATGGGCTCGCAAGCTGTATGTGGGGTCCATTGACATAGGCCAAGCGGCCAAGAAAGGAAGGAGGGAGCCCATTGTCTTCTCGGACGAAGATTTACCACTCATTCTTAGTCCTCATCGGACCCCC